GGTAAGGACTTGTTGTTTTCTGAGTGCAAGTAGAGACCTGTCACAAACGCTACAATACTTTGCTATGCAATGATTCCAGACTACGTGCTACTGGCCTGGCGTGGTAAAGTGTCCTACCATGGAGGACGGGATAAGGCAGCCCTCCCCAGAAACCTTTTGCAAAGGCTTTGGGAGTACATGAAGGAGAGCTTTCTGGAGATGTCCCTGGAGGATTTCCGCTCCATCCCCATACACCTTAACAGACTTTTCCAGTAGCTGTACTGGCCGCAATTGCCAGGGCAAATTAGTCATTAATCATTAAACACGCTTGCTTTTAAACCATGTGTAATATTTACAAAGGTACACTCAGCAGAGGTCCCTTGTGTGCCCTCAGGGTCTGGGAGCACGCCTTGGATGAGTTCGGGGGTTACTGGTTCCAGGACCAGGGTGATAAACATATCCTGGCTGTTGGGGAAACCGGTTTCTCCGCTTCCTTGCTGTGAGCAATCTTCATTGTCTTCATCATCATCTTCCTTGTACCCCAAACCCGCTTCCCTGTTGCATGATTCTCCATTGAAGGAGTCATAGCACACGGTTGGGGTAGTGGTGGCTGCACCCCCTAGGATCGCATGCAGCTCCGCGTAGAAGCGGCATGTCTGCAGCTCTGCCCCGGACATTCCTTTTGCCTCTCTGGCTTTATGGTAGGCTTGCCTTAGCTCCTTAATTTTCATGCGGCACTGCTATGCGTCCCTGTTATGGCCTCGGTCCTTCATGGCCTTTGAGAACTTTTTCTAATGTTTTGCCATTTTGTTTACTGCAACGGAGTTCAGCTAGCACTGATTCGTCTCCCCATATGGCAAGCAGATCCCGTACCTCCCTTTCGGTCCATACTGGAGCTCTTTTGCGATCCTGGGACTCCATCATGGTTACCTGTGCTGATGAGCTCTGCGTGGTCACCTGTGCTTTCCAAGCTGGGCAAACAGAAAATGAAATTCAAAAGTTCGCGGGGCTTTTCCTGTTTACCTGGTCAGTGCATCTGAGTTGAGAGTGCTGTCCAGAGCGGTCACAATGAAGCACTGTGGGATAGCTCCCGGAGACCAATACCGTCGAATTCCGTCCACACTACCCCAAATCCGACCCGCAAAGGCCGATTTCAGCGCTAATCCCCTCGTTGGAGGCGGAGTAAAGAAACCGGTTTAAAGGGCCCTTTAAGTAAAAAAAAAAAGGGCTTCGTCGTGTGGACATGTCCAGGCTTAATTCGATTTAACGCTGCTAAATTCAACCTAAACTCGTAGTGACTAGGCCTGAGAGTTACTGTAACATTTCTGCCAGGTGGAGCCGGCTGCAACCAGGGCTGGGTTCAATATCTAGGGGTTCCTCTTCAACAATACAATACAGAACGGCCTCGAGCCCCCACCCAGTAACCTGGGGAAATTACCTGTGTGCCTCTGAGAGGCAATACTTCCCCACTCACAAGCACAGAGTCTGAGTGTAGAAAAGAAACTTTTAATGAAAGGAGGGAAGTCACCCGACATTAATTAGGGAAAATGCCACAAGTGAGATTCATAATCATAAAACTGTGAGCAGGACACCCACCCCAGAGTGCTTGGGGCAGTGCCTTCCGCCTCATGTTCTCGAGTTCTATAATCAAAAGTTCCTTTTCTGTGCCCCTCTCTGCTCCCTCACCATACTACACTCACAGTGGTTGTCCTTGGTCAGGAGGACCCGGGGTCAGAGGTGCATCTGTGTGAGTTCACCTTCCACCCGGGGAAGAAGGCACCTTGCTTACTCCACGATCTGAGCACTTGTTCTCGTTGGCCGATCTGCCAGCCGCTGTTCCTGGCCACCCCGCCAGCCGCAATTCCTCATTGCCTCGCCAGCCACTCGTTCTGCTCACTGCCTCACCAGGTCTCCAGGAACTAAAGACAGTGGAGGGTGATTAAGGTAGTATGTTAAAATGCCCAAGGGGACTATGAGTGCACACCAGCAGGGTCTACATGACCAGTTAATGAGCAAAATGTTAGCACGCTTTAAAAATCACAGCCTTGTATCCTTCTATGTAGTGGTGCCCTGAGTTACAGGCATTACTGCTGACAACTCAAAAACAGATCTTTCAGCTCTTCATCTTGCTGTAGTTTTCTGATGTCATTCACTGTAGGTGCAACAAAAATAAAAGCCGAAGGTCTATTTTAGTTGTTCTCACTCGGGTGCTAATCTAACACCCTGCTGAGGCAGCGAGTGTAGCACTCAGAAATTTAACCCTAAAGGATTTTTCACACCTCAGTCACACCCTTCACACTCTTGTTTGATCTGCACATCCAAACAAAGCACAGCTTCGGTGTACCCAGCACAGATGTGGGTTTTCTCCCTGAGACCGTGTTTCACAGCAGGCAGGAATATTTAGATAATACTGAATAATTTGTGCCTGCACTGGTCCTAGACCAGCCTTAATTTATAGTGGAGACATATGTGAAGACATACGGATGCCTAGGCAGTCCCACCCTAGTTATTCTCTGCCACCGCCCTTCCCACACACAGATGCACCCGCTTCTGCATACTCGTGATTACACCCATCCGCCTCTTGCCTATCTGTGATCCACTTGCAGGCTGGTGTGTGTTCTTCTTTCACTACTTGATGAAGTTATAAGGCTTCTGGTGACGCCTCTGTGATGCTGGCAGCTCTTGCCAAGCATCTTGCCAAGGCTGCAGGCACTATCTAAGAACGGACAAACACCTAGCTGGAGACCAGAGCAGTTCACTTGTGTGTTTTGAATTGCTCAAAATAGGTATCAGTTTTATAAGAATGTATGTAGTGTTTAGTCTCTATACAATGTTTGTCAGTTGTTGCATACATCCATCTTATTTATAATGTCAGTATTCCATGCTACAAGGAAATATGTAAGTTTTGCTTGATAACTTTTTGAAAATGTGATATATCTCGATTTTAGTAAGGCTTAGACCCACATGATATTCTCATAAGCATCTAGGGAAATATGGTCTAAATGAAATTACTATAAGGAGGGTATGCAACTAGTTTAAAGACTACATTCAAAGAATAGTTATCAATGGTTCGCTGCCAAACTAGGGAGATGTATCTATTTGGATCATGCAGGGGTCTGTCCTAGGTCTGGTACTATTCAACATTTTCATTAATAACTTGGAAAATGGAGTGAAGAGTATGCTTATAAAATTTGCAGATGACACCAGCTGGGTGGAGTTGCTAGCACTTTGGAGGTCAGGATTAGAATTCAATATGGCCTTGATAAATTGGAGAATTGGTCTGAAACAAGATGAAATACAATAAAGACAAGTGCAAAATACTACACTTAGGAAGGAAAAATCAAATGCACAGCTACAAAATGGGCAATAACTGGCTAGGTGGTGATACTGCTGAAAAAGATCTGGGGGTTATAGTGGATCACAAATTGAATATAAATTAAGAATGTGATGCAGTTGCAAAAGAGGCTAATATAATTCAGGGGTGTTTTTTGGGGAGTGGAATGTAAAGCAGCAAGGAGACATGGAAGGGGGTGAAGATAAGAACAAATAAGCAGGGTTGGAAAAGGAGAGTGTGACAGAATGTATCCTTGTGTCTATATTCTATACTGTACTAATAATCTTTGTACAAAGTATACCGTGTGAGGTATCATTTGAAAACTCATAATTTGCTGGTCATTATTGTCCTGATAAATTGTGTGTGGCAACATTGTATGCCATTGTATGTTATAAGATTCCACTGTATGGTGTTAACATGTGTTCCAAACTGAGATTGGCATACAGGTCTATCTCAAACAAAGGAATGTATGCTCAGCTTAATTTGTGTTTAAGTAGTAATCAGAGTCTTCAAGCAGGAAGGGAAACAAAAGGCACTCAAAAAGGTGAGGAAGATGCAGCAGGGAACATCCTTCCCTATAGACTCTGTCTCCTGAATATTAGCTGGAAATGTTTTCCAAGAGAGGACTAACACTATAAAAAGGAGGGACAAACACCCCAAGACCTCCCCCCTCCCTGTTCATCACATTCATGGCAACAGAAATAACAAAAGAAGCATTCGTGGGATTGAAGAAGGCAGAGGCGTAGCGAGCGCCCTCCGTACCCTCCAACCGGAGGGGGCCCCACAAGGAAGGGGGCCCCTAAAAGTGGCAAAAAAAATGTAAGGTATAACTAGGTAAGTGACATTTATTGACGCTATTGCACAATCCATGTTGGTTTTACTGACAAAACCGTGAAGTCATTATGATACATCATAATGCTATTGGCTACATCAGTTGTCTGTCGGTCAGTTTCGAATTTTAGTTGGAGCCATTCAAAGAATGTGTATTTGCGTTCATAATGGCGGTCGGCGGATAAATGTTATTAATTTAGTTGTTTAATTTTTTATCGTTTGAAACGATTCGTTTCCAAAGCAGAAGCGTGCTTTGTGATGTCTAAGAGAACGTATAAGATCGGAGCTAGTAAACGAAAGGCAGCAAAAGATGCCGAGAAGGAACTTGAGAAAATTCCAAAGTTGTCAACGTATTTTGCGCTGCAATCCAACATACAGGTACAGGCACATGAAACGGACAGCGCTAGCAGCGACGAATCGTATCC